TCCTCTCCCCTGATCTCTGCAGACTCTGGTTATTAAAACATGTTTCCCTCTTCCGCTGAGATGAGGAGGTGAGCTGCCGACCTCCTTCAACACGAGCTGCAGGGACGACTTCTTCAGCCGCCATCAATAAAAAACCCTGACGTGGAAAGAACAGTTTCAGAGGAAGAGATACAATAGTTTTCTATTGATTTAATTGATTGATTTACACTGATTTGAAGTTACTGTGAGGAACTTTTAACTGGTCCTGAACCAGTCTCAGTGTAGTCCTGATCCTCTATCAGACCTCCATCAGCAAAGAGACCATCAGAGAGAAGATGGTCTATTTCTATAGAGTTATTCTTGATGCTCGTCATCGGAGCCACCGGGTCGGATTCTGGTGAAACCAGATGAACTCATGCAGGTTCACCAGAAACTCCTTCAGCTCAGACTCCAGCAGAGACCGGTCCACCGTGGACAGACCCAGGTCCTCCAGCAGAGACCGGTCCACCGTGGACGGACCCAGATCATCTAGCAGAGACCGGTCCACCGTGGAGAGACCCACATCCGGCTTCAGCTGCAGCCTTGGACCTGCAGTCGGAGCTCCGGAGGGAGGAGGAGAGCTCAGCTCCCGGCAGCAGCAGCAGCGTCGTCTCCTCCTCCTCCTCCTCCTCCTCCTCCAGGAGCAGAGCTTCTCCTCTCTGGGAGCCAACACCGACACCACGCTGCTGGAGACCCAGGACGTATTGCTGGACCCGCTGGTGGGAAGGGAGGCACGGGAGAACCAGAACCAGGACTGAGAGGGGCAGACTGTCAGACCCTGCTGCAGTAAAGTGAGTTTTCTAAAGGGACTCTGATGATCAGAAACACGACCACTTTAGTCCACAGGAACCAACAGAACCAACACAGAATGAAAGTTCCTTGTTGTAACTTTAAGAAACCAAGACTTTAAGTTTATTATTTTTAGAAAAACACCATTTGTGAAATGTAGGATTTGAGTATCATCAAAATAAAATGAGCAAAATGTGTCACACTTTTGCTCATTTTATTCCCTGAAAAATAAGCACCTTCAAGTCATTGAACTTTAAGGCGTTTGTTTCTCTGGAAGTTGAGAATTTAACTCCAAACCTCCCGCGTCTCCTTTTGATCTTCAGAAAAAAAGGTAACGAGCTGCAATCGAAGTTTGTTTCACACAAACAAACATCAAGGACTGAAGTGTAGGAGGGAGGAATAAATACGCCCAGAGAAAGGGAACATTCATGGCCGTGTGTGTGCAGCTCTGCACTTCAGTGAGTCGTGTTGGCCTCCTCTGCGTTCACCGTCACCTCATCACTCAGCGGCCTGCCGGACTCCCGGCAGCCTCCGCCCTGCTGCCGCTGCTGCAGCCACATTATCATCAGAGTGTCACCTCATATCTCAGCGCAGCCACGAGGCTCATTCACGAGTGCTGGACACAGATTTAGCCCGTCGGTGGGATGACTGGTGGCCTGTCGGGCTGAAGCGGTTCTGCTGTCTTGCCCGGACGCCGCTGAGGTCATCGCAGACAGACGGAGCAGAGACATGGATGAGTTATTTATAAATCTACTCTGTGTTGTTGCTGCCACTTCAGAAGACAAAGTGGAAACGTGAGGGTTAAATCACAAGCTTCTCACAGTGAAAGAGCTGCAACTTTAATTTGTATAAAGTACAAGGGAATAACTTAGAACTAGTATTTATAACTTGTGTTATTGTAGCTTTCAGTGGTTAAGAAGTTCATTGATTTGAAAGAAATATTCAAAAATAAGATGATTAACAAAGGTGTGAACGATAGTGTGCATTTAAAAACAATGTAGGGACTTTTGGGTGCATAACACACGTGTTTTATTGTCTCGCTCACTTTAAGTGTGTCACTTTAAAGGGATTGAACAGAAGTATGTAAAAAGGCAAAGTGTAATAATGTAAGGCTTCAGCTAAACATTAACTAGCTTTAGTTCATCACAACTTCAAAACTAATGACTTATTGTTTTTAGTTTTTATCAGACTGGGACTACTTTCAGCTGCGGATTAATACATTTACAAACGACAGCAAGCTCCTCATTTTACCTTTCAAACAAGATATTAATATTACTTATTATTCTGATTTTTAATAGTAAACAACTGACATACGTTCCTGTTGTTGCTGCAGCTTATATTTTTCTATGATATCATTTATTTTTTTAATTAATTTGCAGAAAGTTAAACCCCTTATTTTCCCGGGCGTGTTCCATATTTAAAGTACCAATAAAGACACCATGTCTGTAGTTTCTCCAGCTTGTTGTATCCCTCCACTTCAGTCGGACTGGAGAAGAAATAGTTCCGCCTGTAACCGGAGGCCTGTCACTGCCGACGACGTCTATCTCAAGAACGGGCGGAGCACATTTATAGCTCGTATCACGTTCACCGGCCTCCAAATCAAGTCAGCAGCTCCGAGCGCACCGCGTGCTGCAGTATATAATGTCACGATGACAGACTGTAGCAGCGTGGACCACAACGTAACTCGACCTCCTGTCCGTCAACGTGTAATGCAAATAAACCGAATGGTGGAGGAGCTGCACGCTGAAATACAAACAAACAGGAAGTGATGTCTTCTACTTGTTTGGGATTTATCACAAACAGGAAGGAGAGAGAAAAACAGGAGGAGGCAGGGGGCAGGAGGCAGGGGGCAGGGAGCAGGAGGCAGGGGGCAGGGGGCAGGAGGCAGGGGGCAGGAGGCAGGAGGCAGGGGGCAGGAGGCAGGGGGCAGGAGGCAGGAGGTAGGGGGCAGGAGGCAGGGGTCAGGAGGCAGGGGGCGCGGGACGGTCCCAACATGGAGCAGGACCTGAGCCCAGATATCAGAGGGGGGGGGGGACAGTTAAAGGAAAGACAACACTGCCATCTAGTGGCTCAGAGGCAGACTGCTCAGCGTCCTCACCTCCTTATTCTCGTGACTTCTTTTAAATCACTTCTCAGAACTTAACGTGGCAATCCTTAAAGGGAAATGTCATGTTTATAAAACTAAATTTACTATCTCAACCCCACTTGTTAAAGTTGTGTTTTTAAACGTATTTGAATGTTATTTTAACAAATAAGAAGTCAATGTCAGAAACTAAACTTTACTCAGAAATGTTTGTCTGAAGAAGTCTGTCACCTAAATAATCTTTATGTCGAATTATTTTAGCTGATTTACTTTATTTCTATTATTATTATTTTCATTATAATAATAATTTCATTATTTTCATTTAAAAGTGAGCTTGAGCATATTCTTAATAAGTTGTGCTTCTCCGTTTGAACTAGATGTTGCTGCCATTTTTAACGACTATCGAGCTGCGCTGATCACTAGTCGATCAGGTAAACGAGGCAGAACCGAGAAGTTCCGACAATTCTGACCTTTTCCCAGAAGTCAAAGGGGAAGTTTGTTTGCTTGATTTGAAAGGAATCCCTTTCTTTGATTAAAGAGAATAATGTTAGAAGACAGTGAAGCTAAACATCAGTCACACTCTTCTTACTGGTTCTCTGGTCTAGAAACACAGATTTCATTTCACTTGAACTGTTTGAAAACAACACTTTGACTGTTGTTTGGCTCGTGACTCCTTCTTTCTATATCTGGAACTCAATCAGAAACACCATCTTTGTGATATTTAAATACATAAATCAAGATGACTTTGATCAAAGTCAAGTCACGCTGATGTCTGAGAAAGCGGCTGTAAAATGAGCCATGAAGTCAGGACAGATGAGTGAAGTGAGAACACACCCAGGAAATATTGCTGTGGGATTTCATATTCATATTTGGCGGGAGCCATGAAAACACAGAGTTCAGTGAACAGTCACACCGTCAAAGCTTTCACTTCCAACGCTGAAGGTTTTCCCTTTAAATCACACTTTCACCGTGATTCATCTGAACTGCCGTTGGGTGCTAATGGTGTCAGAGTGAGGTCTGGGACTTTTGCTGAAGAATTTTTAATTTTGGTAGGTGTGACATTTACAGCCCGGAGACCCAAAAAAACCCACCAAACCCCATAAAGAGCTGCTGGCCCTCTTTGTCTTTAACAGCCCTGTAAATACAGAGTTGATTTGTTTTCTGAGCGCCGTGAGATTAAAACGTGGAACAGTGAGCAAGAGGTGTTTTCTTGAAATATATTTTAAAAGGTTTATTTCATTATTCCACAGCGCCCCACGGTCAGCAAATAAACAGAGTGTCTGATGTGGGTGTGAGAGTAAAGAGGCCGGGGGAATCTCACAATTCTGCCCCCGCTATGAAATATGTTTACCACATCCGCCCGGCCTTGAGACTATAAATCCAGCCAGAGTTACAAGAGCTGTAAAGTCAGAGTGCATCTCCCCTCATTTCAGCTCACCCAGGTGGTCTGGAGCTCAGGTAGTCTGACGGGTTTCAAAACCCATCTCCCTCCTGGTCTCAATGGCTCCCTGTAGGACCAGAACCAGTTTAAATCACGTCTGTCATCTGTGAGTACTGGTGCTGCTGTAAACATGACATGTATCTATTTAAGGCTTAAACCGTATTTATATATGTTTTATAGAGACCTAAGCGCTGTGGAGAGGCGCTGCTTTTCTCTCTGCAGACGAGGATTTATTTCTTTTTAAAGTTCTAAATACCTGAAGCACTGTGAGACGAAGTCAGACCGTTTATTTGGAAAGCGTGTCGCTGAATAACAGAGTGTTGCATCCGATCACGATTTAACAACATAGAAAAACAACTGTGAAACCCTGGAATACAGCTGGGAGCTCCACACACAGCACAGGATGTCCTTTATGGTTAAAGTGATCGTCAGGATGCTCGAGCCATCTTCCTCCTCCTCCTCCTCCTCTTCTTCTTCATCCTCCTCCTCCTCCTCTTCTTCCCCACCGGTTGGCCTCGTTACCTTTCTAATAATTCCCCTATTTATTTAGTTTTCAATTTATTTTTCCCCCTTTTTTTTATTAAAATATATTAAATGCAAAAATAAATAAATACATTTAAAAATTTGTAAAAATAAATAAAAGGAAAAATAAATAGAAAAATCAACATTTACCAGAAAGGTAAATCCGGAAATATTGGTAAATTGCCTACATTTCATTTTTATTTTGGTACATTTTATGGCATGTTCATTTATTATTTTATTAATTCATTTATTTTTGGCAACTTTGGTAACCGATAGCTCCTTGTGCTTGGAGATCTAAACGTAAAGTACAGCTTGGACTGAGGCAGCTTTCGGGAGCATTTTTTATTTGGGAAATAAATCGCGTCGCTGAATAACAAAATATGTCAAAACATAGAAAAGTGAAACCCTGTGGTCCTCTGGATCCAGCTGAGAGCTTCACACACACAGACAGAGATGGTCCTTTAAGATTTAAGCGATGGTCAGGATGGCTCGCTCCCTCTTCCTCCTCTTCCTCTTCTTCTTCGCCAGTTGGCCCGTGGCGTCGGCGAAGAACATCACGTCCTCTTTGCTCTCGATCTCCCGCTGGAGGAACTGCAGCGCGGCGCTGTTGAAGCCCATCACGTCCTGAGACGCACAAGAGAAAGAGAAGCGCGATGAGGACGAGTCTAAACAGACGGACTCTTCTCCTCCAGACGCTACTCACTCTGATCTCCTGCACTTTGGACACCGTGTTGGTCCGAAGCTCGTCGATGACGGACAGCAGCATCTGGTTCCCGGAGATGTGACCGAAATGGATCCTAGAAGGAAACGGAGGAATACCGAGTCACCAGAACATCCTACAGCAGCAGCAGCAGGTCTACAGTTAGATTCACTCCGGAACATCTCATACATCCATGTGTTAGAACCAATACCTCCATATCAATATTAGGATTGACTATTGGTGCTTCCACACAATATTCACAAAATAAGATATTTGATAAATAATCGGTAATGTGGATATAAGTGGATAAAGGCAAATAATTTCAGTAAATTACATCACTTTACTGTAATGCAGCCTGTCAAACCAGGAAACGCGCGCGCACACACACACTTACTTGAGAAGGAAGAACAGGCAGCGGCAGACCAGCTCCACCTCCAGGCCCTGCTGGATGTAGCTGTTGAACAGCGTCAGCAGCTGGGGGACGTACGGGAACGGTAACACCAGCAGAGAAACCTCCAGCTCACTGCGGGACAAACAAAAGAACACCGACTGAGTTCAATATGCACGGAGCACCGCAGACGGTGATAAGCTTTGTGGGTAAACGTGGCGTCTTACCTCGATCTGACCTTCTTTATGACGTCTAAAACGTAGCGGGACGGCTGCAAGAAGGACAAAGACAGACTGAGGATCTACGGCTGAAAAGAACATGAAAACATTTACTTTCATCCTTAATATCAACGTTTGTCGTCGTCGTTCTACTCACTGAAACGTTTCCAAACGCAACGAGGATGGGGTTCGGTTTCGGCAGAGGAAGCTGCAAAACAACATCAGCCGTTTCCCATTAGCATCCAACAAACAGAACACACCTGCAGGATATGTTACGCCCCGCAGCTCATTCCACTGAGCCGGGGCGACAACAGAGAGCATAGAATAAGTGGAGCATGTCTGTACCTTGTTCACTGCTGTCATACTGGCATATTTATGCTCCTCCAACTTCCTGTTCTCCTCTTTGTAAAGTTCCAGAGCCTCCATGATTCTCTCCGCCTGCAAAAACACAGAACATAAAAGGTGTAATAATGTATCTGCAGTCTGTGAAGACGAGGGTCAAACTGAGTCCTGTTTTCACCTGCACATCTTTAGCCAATCACAGACGTACTTTAATGTCAATGTAAATAGTTGCATCCAACCAGGCTTCGTCGGATAAGAAAGATATTCATGCTACAACTCACAGCTTTGACCGTGTCGATGGTCTTCTTGGCGGCTGGAGCTGCTTCTCCTTCAGTTTCTCCGGGTACCTGAAGACAAAAACAAGTGAATGCGTCACTTACACCCGTCCAACACAGCGGTGGAACCGATTGTTCTTTGATTTAAACAGGTGAAAGCGCTCACCACTGGATCATCTCCCTTGGCCATGCTCTCCTCAAACTCTGCTTCCCGCTCCTGTAAATATGAAGACAGAGTGATTTAGAGACACGGAGACGCTGTGTGTGTAAATAACTGAGTATCTGTGTCCTCCCTCTCACCATCTCCCGCTCCTCCTCCAGGATGATGGGCTCCCTGGTTCTCTCCCACAGACGAAGGGATTTGTCGTGAGATGCCGACACAATGTGGTCGCCGTTCGGACTGATGGTGAAACACCAGACCTCCCGATGATGACCCTTTAGAGCAGAGACGAAGGACAAACGTCAGCCTGGAGGTATTCAGTTCATATTATCACGTGATATCGCGATATGTTATTATCGCGATGCGGTATTAGCGCGATGCGGTATTGCGATACGATATTATCACGATACGATTTTATCATGCTACTATCTTATTGTGATTTAAAACATTTAGCGATTACATATATTGCAATTAATTACCGTTTTTCAACTGCAAATTATGCATTTTGTCAACATCCGTTTTATCTAATAAGATAAAGTTTTCTCACTTCTATTGCAGCAAAATGGGTTTTATCACAAACAGACGAACTGATCAACACTCCAACTTTGTTTTGACCAACTTCCTTTAAGAAAAAGTGCATCAATCAGAATAACTCTATAGAAATAGACCATCTTCTCTCTGATGGTCTCTTGACTGATGGAGGTCCTATAGAGGATCAGGACTACACTGAGACTGGTTCATAGAGGATCAGGACTACACTGAGACTGGTTCATATAGAGGATCAGGACTACACTGAGACTGGTTCAGGACCAGTTAAAGGTTCCTCACAGTACTTGAGTAAACGTACTTGGTTATATTCCACCATCGCTCAATTAACAACACAAGTGATGCAGAAATCCTTCATCACTGAATGCACATCATCTAGTTTTGGACTGTTTGATAAATCTGGTTTGCATCTGACAAACGAGGCGCGGTCAGTGTTTCATTTCAGCATCTGAGATGCGAAGGAAGCCCGCCAGAGGACCCGTGATCGAAGCCACCGGACCGCACACATCACAAGTAAATATATAAAATAGTTCGGAGGAGAGCGTCACCTCCAGCGTCTGGATGAGCTGAAACTTGTCGGCGTCCCACTGCTTGATCTTCTTGTCTTTCCCCGCTGTGAAGAACAGATGAGTCTTGGGGACAAACTGGAGGAACATGACGCTGTGGAGAAGAAACAGAGAGAACGCAGAATAAAAAAGCTAGAAGGTAGGGAAGACAAAAGAAAGCGATCTAGCGACTCGAAAGAAACAAAGAAAAGTAGGAAATAATCATAAAGGCAAGACAAGAGACAGAAAACTAAGTGAACAGAGAGGCTGAAAATGAAGCAAACAGATAATTAGATAAGAAGAGAACAAGAAAAGACGCCATGAGAGAAGAGATGAAGGAGCAACTGGTGTGAAGTCACAGGGCAGTCCCCGTTAACAGAGTCCCTGAACGCAACAGATGAAGTCACAGCTGGAAACACGACGGACTAGAAAATGATTTTATTTGATTATTTTTCTGAAATGTTTTGGGTTGCTGGGCGTTACCTGTCGTCATGAGCGAACATGGAGCGGTGACAGTCGCCGAAGTCCAAACCCCAGATCTTCACGTTTCTGTCGGCGGAGCCGGTGGCGATCAGCGTGTTGTCCTGGTGAACAGAACGTGAGATCAGAGTCAGAAACGACCACGTGGAGACCAACATCACAACCACATCTTATCCAACACAAGGCAACAATCAACAACGTGGAAGGAGATTATCTGCTTTAACTCATCATTAGTTGTGTCTTGAGAGTACTCACATGTGAGATGTCCAGACAGAGAACCGGCAGCTTGTGTCCATACAGAGACAAGAAGAACTGCAGCAGCCAGACGGAGAAACGTTGAGTTAAAATTAAACTATTAACGAAGCGATTATACCGAATACACCGTAATGATTGTACAGAATGACGCCGTGTCGGCCATACCTTCAGTGAGTCTGTGTAGAAGACCTTGACGGTGGAGTCTAACAGAGAGACGGCCAGCAGTCTGTGGTCGGGAGAAAACCTCACACACAAAACGTCTTCCTCCAACTGCAGAGTGCGTGTGTGCTTCACTGTCAGCCTCCTAAACACGTACACACACACACACACACACACACACATTAAATATGAGTCATGTCTCTCAGTCTTGTTACTCAGCATTATTGTGAGCAATTTATGATTTTAAATACTTACTTCTGGTCGGTCGCTTGGTCCTTAATCAGCTCAAACTCCCAGAACTTCACCGTCTTATCCGCACTTCCTGTGATAAAGCCTCTCTGCAGGAACAAAACACACACACAACCAATGACGAAGCACAGAAAACACAGCTGTTCTTCACATTTATGTAAAAGTATTAAGACAAAAGGCGATGCGACAGGTGTGACTGCTGACAGGTGGTCGGGTTACCTGGTCTGGGGCGAGGCACAGGGACCACAGAGACCCGTTGTGAGCGTCCACCGTCTCCAGCAGGCTTCCTGAGGCCAACTCAAAGATCTGCAGCTTCCCGCTCTGACAGGTAAAACAAAACAGGAAATATTGTTCTTAACACGCTAGAAAGCCTTCAATGTTGAGTTTTTAATGTTAAAATGTCGGCCATGTTGCACAGAGAAGTGTTCTGTTGCTGCCGTATCCTTGAAGTTCTTAAAGCACCTTCGTTCCCAGGATGATCTGTCTGTCTCCAGGCACGAACAGCGAGCAGAGGGCGTATTCACAGGCCATGGTGCGGATCACCTGCAGCGTTGACCTGCAAAACACCGACATCACGTTAAAACCGGCTCTTACCGGTTATCATTCGAGGATCGAGCGGCCGGACTTCTCTCACCTGTTCCAGATTTTGACCGTGTCCCCCGAGGCTGAGAGGACGGCCAGGTTGTCCGAGCTGAAGGCCAGCGTGCGGACGTCGGTGCGGTGGCCGCCCAGCGTGAGGCGAGCCGTCTTATTGGCCGCGGGCGTCCTGTCCGACGTCTTCAGGCTGTAGGTCTCGATGGTGTTGTTCTGCAGCAGCAGCGCCACCTTCAGCTCGCCGCCGGCACACGACAGGCAGTCCACCCACCTGAGAGGAGACGGAGGGAGGAGTTAATCCCCCCGTTTGGTCTCAAGCTCACGTCTCCGGGTACGTTGGGCTCCACGCTCACCTGATCTTGGCGGAGGCTTTGATTTTGGTCAGTTTGAGGATCTCGTCCTTCAGCATCCGCTCCACCACCGGCTCCGCCTCCTCCTCGCCTGCGTCTTCCTGAGTTCTACAGCAAGAAACAACACAACAACCTTCAGCAACTGCTTAAAGGACTTTAGATGGCACAAGGAATCGATGTCGCATCATGTAACCAAAGAGAAATAACCGGCTTTACTTCGCTGCCTTCTTTTTGGCTTTCTTCAGCTTCTTAGTCATCTTCTTCTGCACCTCCTCCTCCGACAGCACAGTGAAGATCTCCAGGACGGCGTCATTGCCCTGAAGAAAGATTAAAACATGTAAAGCATTACAAATATTAATATCAATAATGCAATTTAAGAGTTAGCATAAACACCAAGTGTCTAAAGTACTACTAAATGTCAACTCCAGAGTCCTGACACACATCAGGTCAATTTCTTTCACAATCAGACGTCAACTAAAAACATTCACTTTGTGCATTGAGTTTGGTTTCTTCCTTAAACTCCCAGACTTCTCATGGTTCCTGAAGGAGCCCAACCCTCTGATCCATCGTCCTCTTTCTGTAGGAACCAGGAGACTCTCAAACACTCACATGACAGGCGATGACTCGGGCCTTGGCGTCCGCTGCCAGAGAGACGACGCGGTCTCTGGCCTCCCTCAGGATCGATCCGGCTTTCTTACAACTCAGGATCCGCTGAGAGGACGGAGAGGACGGACATCAATGTAAGTAACGTTTATATAACGAGAGATATTTTCTTCATGCATTACTTTGTATTAAAAAAAACATTATATATATATATATATATATATATATACACAAACACACACACACACGCACGTACTCTCGTACCTCCTCAGGACTTTCATCCGCCTCTTCCTCATCGTCATCATCCAGCAGAGTTTTCCCCTTCTTCACCTTAGGCTCTCCCACAGCTTTCTCCTGATTAAACAGATGTTAACGACAGATTTAACTTCCCGGTTCTTCTCGTTATTGATCAGTTACACGCGTGTATCGAGATCAAAGAGTCGAGCCGTGTGCTCGTCTCACCTCCTGCAGGTAGTTGATGTCCCAGGCCCGGAGCTCACTGTCTGCTGAGCCCGTTAACAGCCGATTCTCCTGGTTCAGCAGCACCATGCCCCACACCTAACACACACATACACAGAACACACACTGTCACATGGATTCATCCAGGTAGGAAAAGATATTAATGTTTCTCTTCAAAGGCACCAGACTCCATTGACAAAAACAGGATTTTTTTTAGCTCACAGGACACTGGAGCTGCTGGTCTGTCGCTGCCTCCACCACCTTGCTTTTATATGTTATTGTGTGACTTTAGTGATTCTGAACCTTTAAAAACACCAAAGTCACACAACAACACAGACTAACTAACAGCAGTAGACCAGCATCTCCTGTGTTCTGCGACGTAGAATTACTGGTTTTCTCAATGGAGTCTGGAGCCTCTAAAGAGAACATCGATAACGGCTTCAGCTCCCCGTCAGAGTCTCTCATCCACTCAATCCGCTCTCCCTAAATACAGAGGACGGAGCCGCTCACCTCGCTGCGATGGCCCACCATGGTCTTGAAGCAGTGCTGTGTGTCCAGGTCCCACCACTTCACAAAGCTGTCCTTAGAGCTGAGCACAGAAACATGACGTTAGCAACACCGCACGTCCCGTTTCAAACGGTGTTAAGCCTGAAAAACATACTTCAAATATATAACAAACATTATATTACATTTAGGATAATGTTGTTTGAAAAGCACACAAACATTTAATATTAACGTGACTTCCTGGTTTAATAAAGGTTATGAAATAAGGCTGTCTGGTGCAGCTTAAACTCACAACCACATTATTCACTGTTTGTTCAGTGACAGCATAGCAGGATTCAATGATGCCAAATTCATAAAACAATAAATAAAAAGTACGACAGTAGAAATGCTCTTATTTCCTTTATATAAAAGTATGAACGTGTTGTTAAAAGGTGAGTTACCTGGTGACCAGGAGGTTCCTGTCTTTGAGGAACAAGGCCTCTGTGATGACGTCTTTGTGGCCCCTCAGCCTGTAGAGCCCCGACTCATTGATGATGTCCCACACGATCACATCTGTGTCCTGAAAAAAGGTAATAAAGTGCTTATAAACACATGCTATAACAAACCCAAACAGTATTTCAACATACGTGTAATTACATTTAATTTCAAGAGAACGTACCCGTGATCCGGTGACGAGCCGAGCTCCGAGCGCGTCGTAGCGCATGGCGCTGACGGCGGTCTTGTGGCCGTTGAAGGACACGCTGCTCTCGCTGCTCAGCAGGCTGAAGATCCGCACGGCGCCGTCCTCGTAACCCACGGCCACGTGGACGCCATCCGGCGAGGCGCAGAGGAAGGTCACCTCGTGTTTCTGGCCCTTCAGGATCAAGACCTAGACCGGGGACGAGAGACACCGAGTTGGAGACCTGAACCCGTTTGTCGAGAACCGCGTCAGAAAAAAAAAAATGAATGAATAGAATCTCACCTTCTCTCCTTTCCGGACGTCCCAGATGAAGACGTGTTCGCACGCGGCCACGGCCACGTAGCGGCCTCTCTCCCCCCCGCGGAGGGTCACGTACGCGATGTTGGCTTTCTGGCCGCCAATCACTCCGAACACGGCGCTGGCGGCGTAGCGCAGGTACTGTTTGGTCAACCCCATGACGGCCGGCCTCGGGCGATGCTCAGTCCTGTTTATACGAGGATATAATAATAATCATTTTAATTCTTTTTCCAGGACTTTTTCCAGTGATGATCCAGCTGGTTATGTTATGTTCCTCTCTGTGGAAGTTTAAATGAAGAGTCTACAGCTATAACTCATTTATGACATCATCTCTGACGTGCTTAGAAGTTGTATAGTATGATACACTTTGTTTCACTATTATTATATTCTAATCAGTAATGTGTTTAAGTTATGAAGCCGTTAAACTGATATAATTTACATTATAATGTAATAAGATAATATTACACTTGTTGAGAAGAGAATGTTAAATATAAGTACTATCCTTAATACAATTATGATGTACTTGTACATCACTTTTTCTATTTTATGCTACTTTATAATTCTACCCCACTACCTTTATTTGACAGTTTAGATTATTAATAAACAATATAATTAATCTAATAAATGGTGATGATTAATAACAGAAATACAACTCATTATTAAATAATAATTCAGTAATACAACATATATGTATCTCAAATGAACCAGTCTGCATAATAAGTACTTTTGGTACTTTGTTGAATACTTTTGTACTTGTACTGCTTGAGTACGATTATGACTATGAGTATTTCTACAGAGTAGTATCACTACTTTATATCTGAATACTTCTTATACCTGTGATCATAGTGAAAACTGATCAATATTAATAAAGAGTATTTATTAAGAGAGATTATAGTGTTTAGAGCTGTTTTCATCTCCGGTTGTGTCACTTTAATATTTCTTCATTTGTAACACCGTTTTTCTGTGACTAATATTTCTATATTCTGCTTTTAAATGAACGATAATCAACCTAAAAGTTTACTTTAACTACATGTATAGCTTTCATAAAGCATGCTAGTGTGGTTGTCAGATGAGCGTTTGTTTTGCTACACTTTCTATCCCGCGCGGTCGGAGTTACAAGATTCCAGCACTTGTTCCGAGTCAAAAACTCACCAAACCCCGCCTGCCCAGCCAAGGCTGTACTACAAATTGAGCGCACCTAACCACGACTCACCGCTGGCTGCAGGACACACGTGGTGAAGTTCTTCAGTAAACGTAGCTCCAAAAATCTAATACAACGTAGATTTATGTCTGTATATGTTTAACGTGAAGTTAACGTTTCTTCCTCTACCGTCACGTGTTTTAATATTTGGTTGTTTTCTCCTCTTACCTCAGAAATGCGGCCGCTAGCTTCGCTTGTGTTTGTACTGCGTGCGCAGTTGATTTAGACCAAACCAGTCGATAAGCACACACATCGATACCAGCGGTGAGTGTAATATTTATAAAAATGAAATATTAAAATAAAGAACACGTTACAGAATAAATTAATATCAAAAACAGCCAGATGTGACTGCCTCCAAGTCGTTTAAAACATTACAACAATGCATTCAGAGAGACCAGCTCCTGAATATTCATGTAATTGTGTTTATATAAAGATAAATAAACGTTATATAATAATACAATTTATAAAAAAAGATCATACAAATATATAGTTATATATTTTATATGTATTTATAAGGTAATTATTGTTATATAAATAGAACACAACTAACTGTGATGAAAGAATAAAATCTTTGTTTTTCCTCTGCTTTATCGTTCTCTCTCTGTTGCTTTTGTCTGCGCTCGACTCACGAGACCCTCCACAGCGGAAGTGTTTTCAGCTTATTAGTCAGCTGATTAGAACCTGAGGGGGAAAAATGCATCAAGTGTAATAGAAATAACAGGAACAAAAACCGGAAGTCTGCCTGTATGGGCCCTACAAAATAAAACAATCAAAATCAGGTTTATTGACAAGTAGGTTTTCACATATAAGGAATTGAAAATAGCAAGAGAAACTGAAATTAAAATGTTATAAATAACCACAATTAAAACACAATGGTTATTTGAAACAATCAGCATACATACATGCATTTGAGAATTGGCTTTTTTTGTGTAGATGGAGACATTTTGTGTCCATTAATTAAAGCATGTATATGGGGAATTTTTTAACAATTTTCTAATTTGGAGGTAATTCTAAGTCATTCATATTTATATTTAATAATATTTAATTTTGCACATACCATCTATATTACAGGCCTATATGCTGTATTTTCTATGTACAGTACGGGAGGAGTAAAACAAGCATTTCATTGCAGGTAAGTTGAGCATGCAAAACAAAACAAAAAAATCCTGTGGACGTTTATTCTGAAATTCTTAGCCGGATGTTGCTGCCGCTACTCCAGTTAGCTTAACCTCGCAGCAAGTAGCACCTAGCTTTCCTGGCTAAACGTGTAAACCTGACTAATTGGCACTTTTAAACTCACCTTCTGAGCGCTTTGTCGACTGCTTTGCTCGTTAGAATGAAGACGAAGAACGAGAATATCTCCTGAGTCAACACATTGACGTGTCAAGATTTATTCATCATTTTAAGTTTCTATTTCTCTCCACAGCTGCTGCAGGAAATACAACTGGCGAGGTTAGTAACAGCTGATTTTGCCATAAAAAATGGGTCAAAATACCGTTTTAATTGGGATTTAAAGCAAATATTATTATTAGTGACCCTCGTGAATGTGTCTATGAAGAACAGGCAGTTTAGTTGTTTGGGGGATATTTTATTTTTTGACAGCAGCTTCTTACTTTTGCTGTTCAGGAGCTCTGCTGTTAAGGAGCTCTGCTTCCACTAATGAAGCTGAAAGGCAACCAGAAAAATAAATGAAATAAAGTGTTACATGTTAGGAAAGCATCCTGGTTTAAAAATGTGTGTATATATATATATATATATATATATATATATATATAATGTGTGTGTGTGTGTGTGTGTGTGTGTGTGTGTGCGTGTGTGTGTATATTTAAATCTATAAGCAAGAAAGTGCTTATAGATTGTTTTTGTTTGCAAAATTACTGTTAAATAATATTTTTGCCATTTATCGTGCAAATAAAATATATTTTAAAATATTACTTTTATTTTAATAATATTTTTTGTATTAATATAAAAAAATATTAAACATACATTTTCTGCAATGATTGTAATTTTTCGATTTTGGATTGTTAGTCAGACAAAACAATAAATCTGGAGATGTTTTATAGAAAAAATAGGAAATTAAACTTAATAAAATGAAAAAATTATTGAATTAGGTTAAAGCAGTTGAAGCCGTTGGATTAGTTATCCAATCAGAATAGTTGTGGAGCTAATGAAGTAATTGATCAGTGCTTCTGTGTCCTGAGAGGAGCCTCCATCAGAAGTGAACAACACTCTGATTTGTACGCAGCTGCTTGGAGGTCCAGCGGCATCCTTCAGACCCGGAGGCGGGATGGACCCTCTGGGCGCTCGCTCCCAGTTCGTGGACGTCCAGACTCTCCCCACGTGGCAGCAGCAGCTGGGCGAGGACGGTGGCGAGGAGACGCCGCGGGACCAGAGCGACGGCTTCCTCATCCAGGAGGTCTTCTCCTCGCCCTTCCCCTTCAGACCAGACATCAACCGCAAGATCATCCTCTTGTGAGTCACACTTGTTTCCTCACGCTGTTGCTGTCGGGTGAAAATGTCCTCTTGTTTCAAACTTTAAAGTTACTGTGAGGAACTTTTAACTGGTCCTGAACCAGTCTCAGTGTAGTCCTGATCCTCTATCAGACCTCCATCAGTAAAGAGACCATCAGAGAGAAGATGGTCTGTTTCTATAGAGTTATTCTTAATGCTCGTCATCGGAGCCACCGGGTCGGATTCTGGTGAAACCAGATGAAATCATGCAGGTTCACCAGAACATCCTTCAGCTCAGACTCCAGCAGAGACCGGTCCACTGTGGACAGACCCAGATCCTCCAGCAGAGATCGGTCCACCGTGGACAGACCCAGACCCAGACCCTGCTGCAGTAAAATGACAGGTTTCTAAAGGGACTCTGGTGTGCAGGAGAGGTGTCTATGAGTGGAGCATTTTAAACGTCGTTATCGTTATTCTGAAAAGCCCAAATCGTGATTTATATCCGATTTAATTTTGCAGCACTAACTGATGCACGATGTTTCAGTGAAGCCACAAATCCTCTTTTCATACTGAGTAAAGATTTAGATTTTCCACTTACTGAAGAGTGTGTCTTTGAATTATCTGTCCGCCATGTTTGCAGGTCGTCAACCGGACGTGTTGTGTAGTTTCTTGACAATTACATCAGGTTTAAATATATCTGCATATTCAACACCGTAGAAACATATTTTAAAGTCTTTATTTCTGTCTTAAATCATTCTGTTACATAATGATCCAGACCGGATGATGTTTCACTGATTAGACTGAAGCCTAACTAGACTTCATGCTTTAGCTTGTTGTGCCCTTTGCACTCTTCAGTCAACGTTCACCCTGCAGCACTGAAGTCCAGATCCTGAAGCAGTCAGCCCACATGAAACACTAGAATTCATCAGCTTTGATATGAATATAAATATTAAATATGACACAGACTCTGCACAATGAACCCTAGAAAACTCAGCAGCAGTGATACAAACTCGGCTTTTTTTTTGGGAGGTTCTGTGTCTCTTCTTGTGCTCTCCTGGACCGGCTCAGAGTCCAGACCCCCCCCTTCTTAAATCCTCTTTGAGCAGAGGACCACATGACCGTCGGTTCTCTCTGTGAGAGCCTTGTTCTCACATTCCTGCTGCTCTAACGTGACCGGAGCTCCTCCAGCAGCGGCACCTTGTGAGCCTGTGACCGTGAGCGGTGATACCTTTCATTCATTCATTTATATAGTTATACAATGTCTGTGTCGTGCCAAACATTTAGCAGATCCAACATCAGATTACGAGACACTATTGTTTTCTTCTGGTGCAAACAAAGCGTGTGAGAAGCGGAACCTCTTGTTACCTGCTGCAGTGGTTCTTTTGAGGATCTGACCTTTTTACCAGCGAACACTCTCAGACGCGCTTGTGGCTGCTGTCAAATACGTCAAGAAGTTCCCAATTTTTTGACAATGGTGTGAAGCACCCGGCTAACTGGTCCACAAGCAGCCTGCAGATAATGGTTTTATTATTAGACTGGAGGGTGAGACTGGAATGTCTCTTGTCGATGCGGCTCAGTCGGTGTGTGAAGCAGCGACTCGTTGTCGTTTAGCTTCATGAGTATTTGACCTTAACATTTCCACTCTGTTCCTCAGGAGGAGTTTGCGTGTGGCAGCATTGTGACTCATGTTTTATTAAGCTAACGGAGACGATGTAGAACAAAGCCTCTTCCTTCTTGTGACTAAATGCTTTCAACACGCAGTTCCTCATTGTTCTTTCCACACAAAGCCCAGAAGGCTGCAGAGTGAAGAAGTGAATTAATAACCAATAAAACAAGATGTTTTTACTTCGACTAAACGTGTGCAGACTAATGAATGTGCGTGCTGTCACACAGTCCAGCGCTTTGAGACCAGATACAACTTTAATGAGCTGGCTCTGCAGAAATGTGGGGATTTAGGGCAATAAATACTGGAGTAGGTTATGAAACATTAATAAAAATACAACACATTAAGGGCTCTAACTTCTCTCACCACCGTCCAGAAACACAATCTAAACCGCTCCAAAGTAGATGCTGCTCGTCCCAACTATACAATAGAACACCATGGATGTTATATTTGGCTCACATTTTGTAAAAACATTTGTAACATATGCGTCTTCATTGATTTATTCATATCAAATATGCTTCTGACAATGAAAACTAGTGAATAAAGTGATATTACTTTAGGACTCTTCAGGAAAGAACGGTACGACCAAAACGTACCAAACACGACGGTGTGAGAGAAGAGATGTGATTTAATGATGATTCTTTCTTTAACAGCTGTGGCGACATCGCTCTGCTGAACTGCACCGCCATCGTGAACACCAGCAACGAGTCGCTCAGCGACAAGAACCCGGTGTCCGACAGCGTCCACCGGCTGGCCGGACCCGAGCTGAGGGACGAGCTGCTCAAACTCAAAGGTACAGAACTGAGAGTCTGGAGGCAGAGGACCACAGCATGTGACAAAAGCAGGCACATGATGCTCGGCTGAATGTGATAAATAAAGGGTCCGAACCGCCATCACTACTCTGATGTACAGTCTGATGTCTTTTAGAAAGAACTTCAATGTTCCAACGTGTTATCACTGAGAGAGTGGACGTCCACAAGATGTCTCACGATGACGAAAGAACTCTCAACACAAAGAGAAACGTCCTTTTTGTTCCCAAAGCTTTCGACCACATGTCATGGCCTTCCTCACTGGATGGAGCGGCTCAGTTGTCATTTAAAGAAAAGTGTATTTTTCCACTTGTTTCGATTGGCATCACGTAATCATTATCACAGACTGTTTTATACATCACTTCATAACTAAAGTACAGTCGGAGCAAGTAGTGAGATATCTGATTCATCCGTCTCAAACACCTCGTGTTGACTCTTGTCTGAAGTTAATTGTTTTTAAAGTCGGGAGCTTGAAGTTCATGGATCTGGTAGAAGTTAAGACACAAATAACGTACGAAGCAAGAAATAATTAAAAGAAATTCTCGTTTTCCTAAGTGGAAGATTTAACTTTAAGAAAGATATTTTTGTACCTTTTTTAGAAAAAGAATGTGTATTTAATTTTTTGGGTGAATTTATGGAAAGTTTAGATGAAGAAATTAAGCAAATCAATTTAGGAAACTGTATAAAAATATGTTTTATATATTGAGATGATTATTTATATGTATGTGATGAACATTAAGTTACTATTTTACAAAGAGGTAGAAAGTATTTACTTCTGCCTGCTCCTTTTAGAACAAATCATATTATTTTTATTTATTTACTTTATTTAAAATCTGTTATTGTTTATTCTTCTTTTGTTTTCTTTATTACAATCTTATCTAATAACTTGCATGTTTGCGTGCAGGATGTCGGACCGGAGAGACGAAGCTGACCAAAGGCTTCAGCCTGGCAGCGAGGTTCATCGTCCACACGGTGGGACCCAAGTACAAAGCCAAGTACCGGACGGCGGCGGAGAGCTCGCTGTACAGCTGCTACAGGAACACCATGCAGCTGGCCGCGTAAGAACTCAATCAGACCGACCAGCTGATCCCGTCAATGGAGAGATGTTTGGTCTATTTTGCTTAAAATAATGACTTCTTTCAGACTAGTGGAAAGAAAACATCTAAAATACACATTCAGGTGTTTGTTTTACTACTTTGTTTGTATACGTCTGCAGATTTCTACTGAATTCACCAAAAGTTAACATTACATAATGCCTCATTTGCATATTTAAAAGACATTTCAGAAAACTTGTAACTCCATCTGTTCTATGCACAGAGCGTAGAATTAATTATTTTACAGGATCTAGTTCGTGCAAACAGTTTATTTTGGTTGAATAAATGTAGAATAAAGTAATTGTTTATGAATTATCACAACTTTAAGTTTTGATTCGGATGCTTTTTCTTGACGGAAGCGTTCGTCACACATGATGTGTTCAAGGACTGTTGGAAAGTTGAACGCCGATGTTTGTTTTTACAGCTTCTGGCTGTGATACATTTTGCAGATAAAAAATAAAACCAAGAAAACAGGTTTTTCAAAACCTCAGTGGCTTTTGATTGTAGTGGAAGCAAAACATATCAATAACTTTAGTACATTATATCTTTACATATATAACATAAGGAGTGCTTTTATCATTTGCTGTGCAGCGGTAGTTGTCTTGTGAAGTTCGTGTGTGTTTGTTGTCTGTGAGGAACCGGAGCTGTTACTGTGGTGAACATAAGTGTGAGGTGGTTGTTCTTGTTTCCTCAGAGAGCAGTCGATGGCGTCTGTTGGCTTCTGTGTGGTGACCACGACCAAGAGAGGATACCCACTGGAGGACGCTGCACACATCGCTTTCAGTAAGACGCACACACACACACACACACACACACACACACACACACACACACACACACACACACTCAATGACATTTATTCAAAGTAAACTACATGTTCACTTTAAGCCCGCATGACGTTCTGATAAGATCATAATCTGATGATGGATACAAACAAACATATTACAGATGCAATGACCTTAAACTGGACCGTTACGTTGTTTAAGTTTAGTTATTGCTTATTGTTATAATATTTATTTATAGTTTGTAGAAACAGACGGGAGATTTGAAAATGAACTTACAACTAACGGATCAATGCAGCATTAGACCAGCAGCTCCTGTGTTCTGAGGTTAAATGTCGATGGAGTCTGTCACTGAGACGACCGCACTGACTTCAGTAACTCTTTCAAAAGAATCTTTACTGAAAACCTTTAGGTTTTTGAAACGAGCAGACATTTGTAACTTGTGACGGACATTTTATAAAAGCAGACGGTTGAATCTGTATTCCTTTAATTGTCGTCGGCGTGTCTTAATGTGTGAGGTAACAGGAGTGTGTGTTTGTGTGTTCATAGGAACAGTGCGCAGGTTCCTGGAGAATCATGGAAACAGCCTGGAGGCCGTGGTGTTCGCTGTGTCTGACACAGAGGAGGTGTGTGTGACTTCAGTCACTGCCAGTTCCCTAAACACTGCATCTCACAGTATGGGCAGCTGACAAGTGTATTCAGAAAGGAATTTATATTTAATATATTTATTTCTTATAATTTCTGGGTAGTGAGGTTACTCGAAATGTAAACATGCCCCCTGTGGTTACCACTTATATTTACACTTTGTCATCTGAATATATGCTGCCCTGTTGTCTAGTATGACGATATATTTATGTGTGTGTGTGTGTGCGTGTGTGTGTGTGTGTGTGTGTGTGTGTGTTCTCTCAGCCGGTGTATAAGAAGCTGCTGCCTCTGTACTACCCTCGCTCTGAGGAAGAGGAGAAGGCCAGCCTGCCTCTCATCCCGGCCGACATCGGCAACTCTGAGGGGGAACCCATCGTCCCAGAGAGACAGATCCGCATCGCCGAGAAACCAGGCACCGTGGAAGGTATTCAAACCATTAAAAAAATATATGTATATAATGTGAGGAAATATTTTCCCGTCATTAGTAAAGCCACGTAATGTGCTTCACTTTCATGCCAGCCATCTTTTATAAGAGTAGGCATCTTTTTTCCATCATCAATTGATGTGCCTTTGAGGCTGTATGAGTCACACGTGCATCATTTATTATTTTATTCCGCTCCATTTCTGTCCTCACTCGTCTCACACTGAGGAACCGTTTGTTGTTCTTTCCCAGTTTAATTTCACGACAGAAAGATGGCGGCACAAAATTTAACAGAGAAATTGTCCAAGTGCACAATAAAGTTAATAATGTGAAGCGCTGCAGCACCTTGCAGTGTTGTAGTCGAATAGTCAACAGTTTTAGTGTCGTCCACCGTTCTGCTACTCGTTGTGACACGGGAGAAGTTTCAACTGGTTGCAACATCACCGCTAGATGACGCCAAATCCTACACAATGGACCTTTAGATGAATGGAAGCAGTGCATCAGTGAGAAGCAAATGCAAAAAAGAGTTTGAGGCCTGTACCAAGGGCCTGTACTTAGACATTTAGCGTTGTTTTTTTATGCTTTTATTTGTCCTCCATTTATATGTAAACTGAGCAGTTTTTACAGCAGTCATGAAAGAAGTGAGAAAGGGCGAGGCGTCAACCTTCGGTTCTGGAAAGTGAAGCAAAGTAAACCTGCATTCTCTCTCGTGTCCACCAGGGGGCGACTCCTCTGGTTGTATAGAAGTCTATGAGAAAATGACTCTACTTCTCTCTTGATTTATTACCTCAGTAAACATGAGTTTATGGTCTCAATCTCTAGTTTCAAGTCTTCTTCAATACAGCATGATGTTCATTTAGTACATTATGGTCCATTTAGAGTCAAACAGACCATAAAGCAGGGGATGCTTTAGGGCGGGGCTACACAGTGATTGACAGGTCTCCACCAGAGACGTATACCGCGTCTCTACGTCACTCCTCCTCAGTCTGAATATGGTCACTTCTGCAAAAAGTCAGGATGGAGACGGCTAAAACACCGAACTCTAAGCTTCAAAATGTCAGTCCACAAACCGATGGATGACATCACGACGACTACGTCCACTTCCTGTATAAAGTCTGTGGAAAGAGCCAACACTCACATGACTGCATGTGCAGTATTTGACGCTGTTGCATTGAAAATAAGACAGACAAAGAAGAACCAAAAGGCTGAAATAAGCAATTATGACTCCCTTCTAAGCCTTAAACCCTCATACAAACCTCCTCAGAGGATCGTGAACGTAGCAGCAGCCCATGTGTTCGTGGGTTCGGCGTCGAGCCCGTTGCCTCCATTGACCTCCGGTACAGAAGAATGTTTGCGGTGCTTCAAAGGTGGTGAGATGTGGCTTTGGCATATTGATCCAAAGCAAGCAGTCCTGTCTGTGAGTGAAACCCAACAACAACATGCTGATGTGATCACACTGACAGACACACACAGCCTTTTGGATGTAGATGGGATGCGTGGACATGCGTACAACCGTACATGTGGTTTGTTTTTTAGAAAAACAAACACACACACACGCACACAAATAATGTCATGCTTGCAGATGATTAAGGATTAGTGAAATAAAATAAAGACAAGATGAGGTGAATCCGGGATAATTTACTGGTTTATTGTCTCGTTTTTGTGTGTTGTGTTTCAATGGATATGCTGCATCTAACTTTACCATAACTCTCGTGTATGACACCGTCACGAATCCATCAGAGCCAGTAAAGTCAATTAAAGGTCCAGTTATCATCTGTTTGTTTGTTTATGTAGATGATTCTGAAGAGGAGAGTCTGAAGTCGGATCTGGGTCAGGTGGGGAACCACGCTTTCGCCCGGATGGAGGGTGACGTGGACAAACAGCGGAAACAGATCCTGCAGGGCCAGATGTCAGAGGCGGCCATCTTGAAACAACACCAGAGGAAGTAAGAGTCCGAAAACCAAATTGTAAAGTAACTGGAACGTACTGGAGGGGGAAAAAAACACGTTTTATATGATAAAATATGTTGTGACCAGTTAAGTGGTGTCCCATGAACTAGCATTAGCAACATTAGCTTTGTTTAGTCCCGCCCCTGACGCGGATTGGCTAATCGTTAGTCCCCTAGCTGTGCTCATGGGGTCGATTACTTTTTAACAGGTGGCAACCTCGGTTCTGCCAAGTGAAGTCAAAGCTTCATGTGTTAAACCTGCATTCTCTCTAGTGTCCACCAGGGGGCGACTCCTCTGGTTGTATAGAAGTCTATGAGAAAATGACTCTACTTCTCTCTTGATTTATTACCTCAGTAAACATTGTAAACATGAGTTTATGGTCTCAATCTCTAGTTTCAAGTCTTCTTCAATACAGCATGATGTTCATTTAGTACATTATGCTCCATTTAGAGTCACACAGACCATAAAGCAGGGGATGCTTTAGGGCGGGGCTTACTGTGATTGACAGGTCTCTACCAGAGATGTATACTCCGTCTCTACGTCACTCCTTCTCAGTCCAGATATGGTCACTTCCTGTTCACTGGTTGCAAAGAAACAAGATGGTGACGGCCAAAACACCAAAACTTTAGGCTTCACAGCTGCAGTCCACAAACCAATAGATGACATCACGACGACTGCGTCCACTTCTTCTATACAGTCTGGGGTGTGGACCCAGGCAACTTATAAATTAAAATATATAGAAATCAAATGACAAGGTTCAGATAAGAGCTACTAAACTAAGAGAATATTTGCTACAGAAACACATTTCAGATGCAAGTCCAAACTGTATTATATTCTGCAACCATGAACCTTAAGTTAATTAAGGCCACTTCTGTGTGTGCGTGTGTGTTCCTCTCCTGCAGTTACGGTCGCTGGCTGTGTCGGGCGAGAGCAGAGGATCTGTCAGACATCGCTGCGCTGAAAGCTTTATATCAAACCGGTACGTGTTGATGTGTGTGTGAGACACAGAGAACCACAGAAGTTATATACTGGAACCCTGTGTTTGGAGTCAATCTGTCTCCTGTGTTCTGTAAATGTGAAAGGATAAAAGAAACAAAAGAAGGGCATTTACAGAAGTGTGTGTGTGTGTGTGTGTGTGTGTGTGTGTGTGTGTGTGTGTGTG